GACCCTGCCCTTAGCTGCGAATTACCGCTCCAGGGAGTGCCTTGTCAGGGGCGAAATTCCTGGCATTGTTAAGGGGCAAGGGAGGTTAGTTGCCATTTCCCTTGTGCACTAGCTTTCTTTATTTTTTGCACCACTTCAGCAGAACAAGATTTTGCTATATTTAATTGTATTTCTTCATATGTGGTTTCAAGATTTTCCTTAAGAAGCGCATATGCGAATTCCCAGTTCCGGGAGCTGGGGAACTGAGGGAGAAGCGTCCAGATTTTGTACCGGTAAGAATGCCGCCACGTCAAACATGTTTTACTTCCTTGCTGTGCATTCATTCAACGGATATACTACGCGTATACAATATGTTCCAAATTGAACTTTCATGTAGGTCACTGTGGAGAAAGATGCAAGGAGTAATGGCATTCCTGGCATTAGTATGAAGAAGTTAATTTCCAATTCCCTTTTCCTTTAATTACTTTGTTCTGTTTTTCATTTATGCATTTTGGTATGCATTCCCACATCCAACAGAAAAGAGATAAGAAGTGCGAAGATTTATATACATAGAAATCCCCACATACTTGCTACTTTTGTATTGTCGTGCAATTTAAGATTACATGCAGGCCATAGCCATAGGCACACAGATAGGACTTGGTCATGTGTGTTGTTCACTTGTTCGTTTAGATGTATGCATGAATGTATGTACGTGTCGAAGGCTTCCTGCCAAGCAATTATTGTATGCCATATCAGTGTGTAAGATTTGCACACAGAAAGCAAAACTCATACAACTCCAAAGTGAAGGTTCATTTGTCTGCACCTCTCTTCTCACATCATTTTGGTTGGACCATCTTGGTTTAATTTCCGACTGCAGATATCATGTCCATGGTGAGATGCCAGTTGGGGAATTTGTTTTTTTTATTCGGCAGCAGATCGTGCTCCCCCTATCCAAGCCTCTGTTTGTCTTCTTCAAAAACACTGAACCTCCTGCTGGTGAGCCACAAACCCATTTTTATTTTAGGCATAACAGTATCGCCTTGTCGCAGAGTTAAAGTTGTGGTGGTGATGTTTGTAATGATTCTAACAAATGTAAATGTTACAGATGCCTTGATGTCAGAAGTGGATGGGGAAAATAAGGAAAAAGATGGGTTTCTTCACATGTCCTACAATGGAGAAGCGAATGCCTCTAGATCCATCAATCACGAGCAAGAATGGATGGACAAGGCACTCCCTGGAGCGGTAATTCGCAGCTAAGGGCAGGGTCATCGTACATGCAAGGTGCTTAGTCATCAAACTTTGATATCCAGAAATGGGAGGGGATCAACAATACTGGAACTATATTGAAGTTTATGGCACTCCATTCCATGGTTGGAGACTTTAATGCATGTACTTGACTTATATTTTGAGGACTCTGCGTCGGACGGCGTAAATATAATAAACTTTCTTCTGTGTCTAAATAGGGATTTTGAGCGTCTGCATTTTCATGTACTTGGGAATTCCTCATCAATAACTCCCTTTATTCCCGTAAAAAATGCTTAAATTTGAAATCTAGATGTGGGTTGGTTGATGGATTAATTTCGGGAATTCATTTGTTATAGAATCACATTGAATTTTAAAGAGTGGACTTGAATTAGATTGTGAAAGCTAGTGGTGTTCCTCTTCACTGGTAAATGAGACGTCTTAGGTTTGATTCTCGATAAGAAGGTCCCGGCGCAGAAACAAAGAGACCGGAAATAATTTTCAATTCTTCAATTCTTGTTAATTACTAGTAACTGCTCTCTTTTTGACCCCTTAGCTAAGATACGGGATGTTCGTTCAAATCTCTTACCGATCCTCAGATAAAGAGTGCAATTTTGGTTTTTGGGATGACATTAAGAAGTCAGAAGAAGTTCAAACAGAGTTTCAATTCGATATGATGCAGTTGCTTGTAATATTCTGTTGTTCTTCTGCCTTTGTCAATCAGAAAATACATACAGGAAGATGTAATCCAAAAAAAACCAAATGGGTGTTTGGGATTTAAGATTTGATACCTGGGTTCTGAGATTGGATCGAAGAAAACGATCGATCCCCATATTTTTTAAATTTCTTTTATCTTCTGCAACAAAACATGCAGAGAAGGAGAGTTCCGGGAGTCTCTGAGAGCCCTTGGTGACTAGTCAGTCTTTCTACACTAAAGTGAAATGAAAGATGTTGCCAAATGTGTCTCAATACGTTTCAATACCACATTGCCCATTACATTTGCCTTTATTATCCAAATCACCAATGCTTAATAATGATGGTGATTACATATATCATCATCATTGACTCTGCTGCACAAGTAGTAGATTACTCTAATGTGGAATCATTGACTCTGCTGCTTAAGAATGCAGAGACTCAATTGGGGTCCATGGACGAGCTTGTTGAGTCCTACACTTGCTGAGTTTCTACATGAAGCTTACTAACTAAATTTGTAAATTGAGTTTATGGTAGGAATTAATATTTGTTTTTGTAGTTTTTGTGTTTGTGTGGACTGACTGCTGCTATGTGTGTACCTACGTATGTATGTCCATTTGAGACAGTGAGATTTAACCCATTTCATTTAGAGCGAATGGAGATCGATCGACCATGTTAAAGAACTTGATTAATTATAAATTTTCATCATTATAATTTACAACAAATTACGCTAAAGAAGAAATAAAATGTTTGAACCAACTACTCAGTGAGTTTAAGAGAAATTGTCTTAGTCATTAGAGTAATCTACTACTTACAATTTATTATTTGATTTAACTTTCACATTTTACATTCTTATGTGTTATGCACACAATGTAACCAATTCATTACGGTGCGCAATAGCTTTGGTTTTTTCTTTCTATACACATTCAAACTCACATTGTTGAGAAAATAATTAATTACTTAATTTTGTTGCTGATACACTTATATTGTCATTTTCTATAATGTGAGAAAGTTTACATTTATCATATTCAACGATGTGTTTTAACTTCAATTAAATTCTTGTCGAGATTCTCATTATAATTTTTTTTAGCAAAAACAAAAAAAGGTAAAAGTATTTAAGAAATAGTGATAATACCCGTGTTCAGTTCAAGAAATAGTCAATATTTAGTTTAAGAAATAGTAATAGTACCCGTGTTAAGTTAAGAAATAGTGTTAGTACCTATGTCAGTTTAAGAAATAGTCAGTCTTAAATTTAAGAAATAATGATATTACTAGTGTTAAGTTTAAGAAATAGTGATAGTACCCATGTTTAGTTTAAGAAATAGTCAGTATTCAGTTTACGAAATATGGAAATAGTGATAGTACATGTGTCAGTTTAAGAAATAGTCAGTGTTAAGTTTAAGAAATAGTGATAATATTCGTGTCAGGTTAAGAAATAGTGATAATACCTTCTTTGAAACAGCTCTTGAATCTGCGAGGCACATTACGCTGATACCTCAGCATTCCAGTTCCAATGGTCTTCCTTCGGATCTCCTTTTGACTCCACTTGTTTATTTTTCAGAAAAGGGAACTCTATTTCTAACATAATTGGCTAACATAATGGAGTTTCCGTTAGGGGCAAGGGTTGGAAAAAAAATTTATTTCGTTTTGGGCTTTTAATTCAGCCCATGTTTGTGGGTCTAATATTAATTAGTTTTGTCCTTATGATTAAATAATATTATAAGGTGGTTTTTTTGTTAAACTAAACTTAGTCCAAATCTTTTCATTAAAGCTACCAAAAAATAACGATTTGTCTGTCCCCAGTTTCATTCCGTACAACACAAACAAGCGCAGTAGCCTCGGACAAAACTCTCCGACTCTCCGACTAGACAATGGCGTCTTCCACCACCTCCAAAACCCAAATGCCGCTGCCGCCTCCACCGACTCTGCCACCACTACCTCCACCTCCACCTTCGGCAGACCATCGGACGGGAGTAGAAGTTGCAGTTCGTCTCTGCCGTGACGCCCAGGGTAACTAAAACGTCACAAACCTCAACTCTCTTCTTATCTTCTTGCTTGTGGGTGCTTGTAGTTTTGATTAGATTCTTTTGGTAAATGTGATGTTTCTTTAGATTATTTTCGTGAGTTTACTTGATGAATAGCTGTTTAATCAAGTTTTTTATTTTTTATTTTTTAATGGGTTCATTTTCTTCGTTAATGCGATTGTTGTGCTTTTGATTTTCTTGCTTCTTGGTTAATGCGTGTGTGTGTTTCTTTATTTGTTGGATTCTGTGAACGCACAGGTTTATTTTCTTAGTTCTGATCTTCTTTGGTACTTTCAGGGTATCATCTTCCAAGAAAAACTGGTTCTGGCAATGCCTCGGTGAAGAATTCCATCATCAGCACTCACTTGCAACGCTTTTGCAACGCGCTCGAAAAAAAAGGGAAACCTAAAGGTTTCGACGAGTCATCCATTACCACTATCAATGCTCTGAATGATACAATCGTTAACAGGAAGAAGCTGTGAGCCCACTGTTTCACCTTCTCCTCTGATGTTCTTTACTTGGGGTGTTGGATTATATCCATTCCGGACAATGGACATGCGTGTTTCTGACCTTTCTGAAATAAGTAAAACATGTGGAGCTTTTGGACAGATAATACGTATCTTCATTACATTAGCTAAAACTAATCCGTTCTCCTTCATTCCTATCCTATCACAACAAGATGGACCTTACTGAGGCTAAGAATGGACCAACTATTGAATCTTGGATGAAAATTTTTTTACCTATTGCTCTCGGTGATCTATTTTTACCAACCTCTTTCCAACTTTTTTCGCTGTAAATTGACATTCTATATTCACAACTTGTCTCAAAAGTTTATTCTTAACTGAATAAACTTCAATAGCTGATTTTTACAGATGTTCGATTCTGTATAACCTCCCATTTCATGTCTTTAGTTGTTCGATTCTGAATAGTTGTTGATACTTACCTTTCTTATATTTCTAACCTGTCATTTCTCTCAGATATGTGTCAAATTTTATCAAGAAAAATGAGAAGATACATTCCATAGGATCAGCTCAATCTCAAATGTTGGAACTTTCAGAAGAATGGCAAACAGAGGTGTGTCGCATACTTTATTAGTTCTATGCACTTGCAGTTTACATCAATTTTATGTTCACATATACTCCTCACATTATGTTTGATACTTTTAGTGTTCTTCCAGTTGACACTTTGCTGATGGTTCCCATTATGTTTTATTTGGTTGTACAGGATACGCCTTATGACTATGACAACCCTGGAGCTGGAGGGGGCGAAGGGGATTATCTTTTAGACACAGTTGTAGGTAATGCCCTAGCTCTAGTTCCAGTTCCAGTTCCAGCTCCACCTCATCAGGTTGAGGATGGAGGAGCTATCATCCCAGTAGTTGGTGATGGGGATGGTGGAGGTGGACCAGGGGCTAGAGGAGGAGTTTTGCCCATAGATCGAGTACTCTCAGTCTATGGGATAATGTTGGGATGGCAGAACCCATTCAACTTTATTCCTCGATTTCAGTTCTCCCTGAATCTTGACATAGTCCGTGGTGTGCACGAGGTCGAGCATTTCATCAGGGGAGCATACACCTCTCTTTTTCTTAATGCTGGTTTTTTGGTTCCGGACCGTTTTATTTGCACCTATTTGCTCGATTTTGGAGAAGGTGGAGTTCAGGCGATGGCATCAGAGCATGCCATGGCTCTCACATGGCAGAAGTTTTACAAGAGCGCTCATTGCGTGCTGGCCTTATCGCATATGGATGGGAAGGTTGTCAATCTTTCTAGGGTGTTGGAGGGAGGCATATGGGCTGGCAGAGGGACTGTGAATATTAGAACATATGGAAATGTGCTTGAAATGGAGGCCGACATGGTCGTTCAGGTTTATCCGGGTTTCGCTGAATTCCCTGCACACATATTCCAGTATTGGCTTGACGGGATATACATGACCACACATCAGATTTTAGGTTTGCAGTGGAATATCATAGATAGGTATTCGACATCAGTTGATTGTTGGGATTTTCCGGCCCATCAGGCTGCAATTATGGGTGATGTTGCTGCAGATATGGCTCAGGATGAGATTGGCCACGACATGATGGAGATACTACGCGTATACAATATGTTCCAAATTGAACTTTCATGTAGGTCACTGTGGAGAAAGATGCAAGGAGTAATGGCATTCCTGGCATTAGTATGAAGAAGTTAGCAGTCCTGGCATTAGTATGAAGAAGTTAGTTTCCAATTCCTTTTTCCTTTAATTAATTTGTTCTGTTTTTCATTTATGCCTTTTGGTATGCATTCCCACATCCAACAGAAAAGCGAGAAGATTTATATACACAGAAAGCCCCACATACCTGCTACTTTTGTATTATCGTGCAATTTAAGATTACATGCAGGCCATAGCCATAGGCACACAGATAGGATCTGGTCATGTGTGTTGTTCACTTGTTCGTTTAGATGTATGCATGAATGTATGTACGTGTCGAAGGCTTCCTGCCAAGCAATTATTGTATGTCATATCAGTGTAAGATTTGCACACAGAAAGCAAAACTCATACAACTCCAAAGTGAAGGTTCATTTGTCTGCACCTCTCTTCTCACATCATTTTGGTTGGACCATCTTGGTTTAATTTCCGACTGCAGATATCATGTCCATGGTGAGATGCCAGTTGGGGAATTTGTTTTTTTTATTCGGCAGCACATCGTGCTCCCCCTGTCCAAGCCTCTGTTTGTCTTCTTCAAAAACACTGAACCTCCTGCTGGTGAGCCACAAACCCATTTTTATTTTAGGCATAACTGTATCGCCTTTTCGCAGAGTTAAAGTTGTGGTGGTGATGGTTGTAATGATTCTAACAAATGTAAATGTTACAGATGCCTTGATGTCAGAAGTGGATGGGGAAAATAAGGATGAAGATGGGTTTCTTCACATGTCCTACAGTGGAGAAGCGAATGCCTCTGGATCCATCAATCACGAGCAAGAATGGATGGACAAGGCACTCCCTGGAGCGGTAATTCGCAGCTAAGGGCAGCGTCATCGTACGTGCAAGGTGCTTAGTCATCAAACTTTGATATCCAGAAATGGGAGGGGATCAACAATACTGGAACCATATTGAAGTTTATGGCATTCCGTTCCATGGTTGGAGACCTTCACTTTGGAGTTGTATGAGTTTTGCTTTATGTGTGCAAATCTTACACACTGATATGACATACAATAATTGCTTGGCAGGAAGCCTTCGACACGTACATACATTCATGCATACATCTAAACGAACAAGTGAACAACACACATGACCAGGTCCTATCTGTGTGCCTATGGCTATGGCCTGCATGTAATCTTAAATTGCACGATAATACAAAAGTAGCAGGTATGTGGGGCTTTCTGTGTATATATATATTCGCTCTTCTTCTATCTTTTCTGTTGGATGTGGGAATGCATACCAAAAGGCATAAATGAAAAACAGAACAAATTAATTAAAGGAAAAGGGAATTGGAAACTAACTTCTTCATACTAATGCCAGGAATGCCATTACTCCTTGCATCTTTCTCCACAGTGACCTACATGAAAGTTCAATATGGAACATATTGTATACGCGTAGTATATCCGCTGAACGAATGCACAGCAAGGAAGTAAAACATGTTTGACGTGGCGGCATTCTTACCGGTACAAAATCTGGACGCTTCTCCCTCAGTTCCCCAGCTCCTGGAATTGGGAACTCGCATATGCGCTTCTTAAGGAAAATCCTGAAACCGCATATGAAGAAATACAATTAAATATAGCAAAATCTTGTTCTGCTGAAGTGGTGCAAAAAATAAAGAAAGCTAGTGCACAAGGGAAATGGCAACTAACCTCCCTTGCCCCTTAACAATGCCAGGAATTTCGCCCCTGTCAATCTTAGCCTTCAACATAGCCATCCCAGAAGCCACAGCAGCTTGCTCTCTTTGAGCCTTCTCCCGGGTCACACGCAAGGAGGGAGGCTCAAATTAGAACAAAGTGTACGCATCGACTAAAAGCATAAATTAGGACTATGATTGAAAGGATTTCTTACAAATCCGGGCATACTCCAAGGCTCTAAATAATAAATGCTCTTTGAATATGTAAATCCTTTGAACGCCCGAGCAGCCTCCAGAACCTCAGCGTTGCGTGCCTCCGCTTGCTCCATCAAAGAACGAGCAGCGGTTAAAAACTCAGTTGTTACCTCAGAAATTGAACAATCAGAAAAGAAATTATCTCCTCTCCAAGACTAAAAGCATAAGAATATCAAGCCAGTGCCTGTGAGAGTTTGCAGTAAAAAAACGTTTAAACTACAGGGACCAACCATCTTTTATCCTAGAGAAGGAAGATATCTACACACCAAAAACCCTCACACTACGTTTGGATGATGAAATTGCAAAACAATACGGAAATTAGATTCCCATCATTTAAAACTCCGACAATTACAAATCCCATCGTTAGGAGATATGCGTGTGGAATTTGAAAATAAAATACATTAGAAATTCTATTGATGAGATGTTTTGAATGAAATATGACATAAAAATTGCTCTAAGTTAGCACTCACATTGTCCAGCAAAAAGATTTTAACCAAATAAAAGCAGATGTGTATCCCGTCAGAGGTCCCATTTCACTATTGTAATATCACCGAACAGAGAAAGAACAGATTAACAAGTTGTAAAAATTTGAATTGTAATGTGAACCAAATAGACCAACATCTAACATAACAAGGAGTCGCCAAGAACCGAGATAGAAACCCATTTACTAGAGGATAGGAAACCAAATTCAGAAATAACTGCAAATCTCTCTTCCTTGTAATTCCAAAAATTACAAGTGTTACTGCAAAATATTAACAAAGCAACTTGCAATTCCAAAAATTACCACAAAATTAAAAAATAAAAAAAATAATCCCAACCCGGAAAAGTAGAAGGTCTGCAAGTCCTGGAAAATCTTCCTTCCATGGCTACGCCTGTTGTCTGCGAAAATTCAAACCCACCAAACAAACATGAGAACAACAACATGATTATAAGTAAGCAATGTATATATGGCAAGAATTTAAAAGATTTAAAGGTCCACAAAGATAAAACATCAAAAACGAAAAGGAGGGATCGATTAGGGTTTTGGTTAATTGAAAAAAAATCCCAATTCAATTTTTGGGAAAATCATGTTCAATCAAACGTCTGAATATACACATGCGAATATAAAATTTCAGGATTTGATATCACCTGTTACTTTTGACTGAGTTTGATTTTCCAGCGCTGACTCCTTTTAGTCGTTTTCCTTCGGCCCCGCTCCCTATTTATATCTCAGCCTCTATTTTTCTTAATTTTATTTTACACTATCATACGGGTATGAGAAAATTTTATTTATTTATTTATTTATTTATTTATTTATTTATGAACGGCATTTTTACAGTACAGACAGGAGAGAGAGAGAGAGACAGACCTCGGGACTGCGAACGGGTAGGCGCAGACCTCCGGGCACTGCTTGCCGGAGTTTCCGAGCCAGGCGTATGGCAGAGTGTAGCCCACCATGGAGGGGAACGTGAAGTAATGGAAACCACAAACGGCTCGACAATAGTCCTGAACGGTGACCTCCTCGGAAGTGAGGATTAGGTAGACGCCGTGTTTGTGATCGACGGGGAAGGGGGCGGATCGGACGGCGGAGGCGATGACCTGCTGGACTGAGAGGCGGGTGAGGTGATTCCCCTGGGAGTACTTCATGTCGGAGTACTGGCCGGCGACGACGACGGAGCGTGAGACGTTGGCGCCGGTCTGGTCGGTGTACAGGGAGACAGTTCGCCACCACTCGGCGACGGAGGGGGAGGAGGAGGCGGAGGGAGCGGCCGAAATGGAGTGAATGAAGTCGGTAATGAGGAGCTTCTGGGGCGCGGCCCACTTGCCGTACCAGATGAGGTAGATGTTGATGGGGGAGGAGGAGAGGACGGGGCCCATGTGGTAGCGGAGGTCGACGAGGTTGGAGGAGCCCTCGAATTTCTTATTGGAGGAGAGGGTGCGGGGAGGGAGCTTGGGGTTGAAGAGCTCGTGAGTGTTTAGGGTTTGGACGGAGGGAGTGGCGGCGGCATTGGCGAAGACGGTGGTGGTGGTGAGGAGGAGGAGGCGGAGGAGGAGGGAGGTGAAATTGGTGAGCGGCATTGTTGGGGTGCGGGGGATGGAGAATTGGAGAGGGGAAGGGAGGAGAGGGGTTATATAAAGTTGAGAGTGAGAATGGAGTGGGGATTGGGCTGGAGACAACTGCAACCTCTGTGGGCACAGAAGAGAGAGAGAGAGAGAGAGAGAGAGAGCGATATTTACTGTCTGTGAGTGAGAGTGGGTGTGTCACTGTCTGTCTGTCTCTCTCTCTCCCTCTTGTCTGTACTGGAAAACCGAAATCGGCATTTTTATTTTTGAAACTATAAGTTCAATTTAGTTTATGAATAGTTAATTCATAAAAGAGAGGTTCTACAATAATACATAATACAATATGCTGATTTAAGTGTAATGGATTTGAGTTGCTTCGGGAACTTAAGTGTGAGAGATTCAGGACTATGAAAGGATGTCAACGGTTCAAAAAAGAGAAATAAATTATTAAATCGTTAATGTCCAAAAGTGATCTTTAGGTCAATAATTTTGAATTTCTTGTCAGATATTCAATAGAGCAGGACCATGTAGGGTCGATCGTAGACGCAAAATAATGACTTCGGGCCTTATTCACTTTGGGCCAGATAATTAAGAAAAATAAGCCTAAATGATGCTTAGCCGTAGACACCCCAACCTAGTTGGGTGCGGGCAAGAAGCAAAACGGGCCAAAAAAATGATTTGGGTCGTGAAGTTCATGACAGCCCAACAAAGAATTGATGGTTGTTGTCCAGAAAAAGAGTGGTTGCAGCAAAGCTGCAGATTGGGCTCGGGTCATGGCTGCAATGGCAGCGGCCCGAGTGGGATTGAGACCCAACAAGCATCCAGTTGCAGTCTACAGCTGAACACAGGCCAACAGATGGGAGCGGGCCATTCAAATGATAAAGCCTAGCAAGCTTTTGCTGGCTTCTAGTGTGGGCTGAGGGCTGCAGGCCTAGTGCACAGAAAATCTGCTTAGGCCGAATATTTGGTGGTCTGGCACACTTGCAGCAGAGCCCATGGGGTTGCTGTGGTCTAGAGGAAGCAGGCCTGAGCTGCTGGCTCGGGTTGGTGGCTTGGCGATGGTGCGGCCACAAAACATATATATTGAGAAATATATGAAACATATACAATATATATATTGGAAGGTAAATATAAATGTAGGGGATTCATACATCATAAGGAATGTTTTCATGCTTCATGATTCCTTTATTTTAAGCGTACTTGATTGGCAAAAAACAATAGAAGCCTTTGAATTTTGTAGAAGATCATTATTTGAAAAGCAGGAATTGCATCTCCAATGCGTTATATCATGTTCAACACAGAAAATTAAATTGAATCAATAGCATGTAAATCAATTCAATAAAATAATAAATTAATCATAAAAAGAATGATTAAAACGTAATACTCCCCTGATTGAAGATCGAACTCTATTTAGCGCAGAGTCAAGAGCGTGCTAATAACGTGTTGTTGACATAATTTACTGAACAATTATGGAGGCCAGAGAGGGGGCGCAGCACAGAGAGAAGAGAGATGTGTAATTGTGAGGTGTGTTATATTCCACCCCATTGTGTCTTTATTTATAGTCGTAGGGAAGATTAACTTCTTACCTTAGTAGGATTAGAACTCTAATAGGATAATATCTAATCTAAGGGGGATGTATTCAATTGGGAATTTGAGAGATTTTAATGGATTTATAAATCCATGAATTTTTTTATAGAATTTAACTGATTTGTAGAGATTCCATGTAAAATTTTGATTCAATTCCCTTCAAATTTCATGGGGAGATGTGAGATTTGTAGATGCTTAAAATACACTACAAAATCTCTCTAATTCCCTCTAATTCCTCAACTTTTCCAAATTCTTTAAATTCAAATTTTAATTGAATACACCTGAAATGTTATAAACTTCTTTAAAATTCTAATTGAATACACCGGATTTCTAAGGATTTTAATAAACTATACACATTGAATTTCAAAGAATCACCTAAAATCCTGATTGAATACACCTAGATTCATGAAAAGAATTAAAATCCCTCAAAATTCTATTTGAATACACCCCCTTAAGAGATATGGTAGAATCTCATAAGGATATTCTAAATATGTTAGAATTTATACAATCACATTCCTAATTTAATAGGACTGCAATAAGAGTAGTTTTGTCATTTTAATTTTTATTTAACATAATTATTCACTGAATGACCAAAATAATTGATAGTGAACAATTTCAGGGACCACTTGTATTGATTTCAAATATCAAAGATCAAAGTGAGAAGTTATGCAAATCTTAAAAATCATTTTAGCTAAAAAGCATTTCTGAAATAAAATTCCTAAGTTCATATATATGCAGGACTACTTGACCTGCACTCAGTCCCGTTCCCATCTTATACCCTTTTCGTCTCACTTTCCAACCCTCCATTCACACTTAAATTAGCATTTACCAGCTGCGGAAATTAATTAAACAATTGTTGACTATCCACCCTGTACATATATTTGTAAACTTTTACATACTTGTTTGCTTAACATCAAAGGAGGGAAGTCGAAGAATAGGATGAGAAAGTTCAAATGGAAAAATTGCTATCACTTAACCACATGATTTTGAGGTTAAAAACGAATTTTAAACTCATATTTTACACAATAATTCCAAATTCGATTTCTGTCATTGCTAAACTACCGACTAATCTCTTTTTTGAAAAAGAGAAAAATTGCTAGCACTTCTCTTTGTGTATATATAATATTTTGGTAAATTGGTTGAGGTTTGTGCCGACTCTGTAGACTGATTCAAAAGTCAACAGGTGCCGTGTGGAGGCTCTTGTCTCTACAAGTTTAAGCCATGGACTGCTCTTTCTCTAGCTTCACAGGTCATTCGGTGCAAATTAACTAAGTGGGTTTCTCTCAAAGCTCCTCACTTGTTAGAAATTTGTGAACTTTACGAGCCAGAGGACTTATTTCTGTGCAATCAGACTGAGATCATAAAAACAGGTGCTTTCTATTTACTTGTTTTTCCCAGAATTTCAATTTTTTCGTTATATTGTTATTATTATTATTATTATTTCTTTTGTTTGAGTTGGCTTTGTTAGATATGTTTATGATGGAAATGATTGAGAATGTGTCTGAATTTGATTTTTCTTGGGTTCTAATGAAGATTGATAAGTGAAGTTGGTTTATTTAACATGGTTGGTGTGAAATCTGTTAACGGAAGACTTGACGCAAAATCGAGCGTAATGACGCTGTAGAATTCATACAGGGCACCCATTTAGAGGGATAATGCTTTGTTGTTGTTGTTTGTTTGTGACGAAATCGGGGTCTTTAGGATTAGTTGGATTTATGTAAAATGAAGAAAGCACAGTGGATGTCTAATTTATGCTGGATATTGTTGGTAAGAAAACCAGAAAATGAATGAGAATAACGGGTATTGGAGTTTTATTTAACTACTAGATATTGGTTTTGAACTTTTGATCAAGTTAATAGATGAGAAAAAAAATATGATTACTTGTTAGTTGTTACATAGTTGTATCTGATCCTCTCGGGGGTACTCGCGAAAGACCTGTACTAGGAAAGAAAACCAGCAGTTGTATACAAGTTAAAATCTTTAATTTGAGCTGTGTGATATTTGTTCATCATAGTAATGATCACATTTGCAGAATTGGTGAGTGACATTTTGTAGTGTTTGCTTTATGTGTCTTTTCTTATCATACTTTCAATGGTTTTGATCCTTGAATTGTAGCTTTTTATGGACTCCCTAATTCTAAGGCTTTCTTCAGCTACCGAGTCTTAGGTGAGGATTAGAGCACTTCATAACGTTAGGAGATATGAAGTGCTTCTCATTCTACATTGGAGAAAAGAAGGACGAACCAAAGAGTACAAATACAACTTTTACCGATGCTGATATGAAGAGATCTGGATCTGAGTTAGATTCACAGAATATCTCTGATGCGAGCACAGAATCTCTGAGGAGGAACCAATATCCTAGCTTCTCTCAGAGACCCAGCAACCTCAGAGTATTCTCAGTTTCGGAGCTGAAGTCTGCCACGAAGAACTTTAGTCGCTCTGTCATGGTTGGAGAGGGCGGGTTTGGGTGTGTCTATAAAGGGCTGATTAAAAGTGAAGAAGATCCTTCTAAAAAACTTGAAGTTGCCGTGAAACAGCTCGGTAAAAGAGGCTTGCAGGCAAGACTGTTTTTCAATTGGCATAGCTTTGATAGTTTATACAGATTCTTTTTCATTAGAGTAATGCTATTCATACCATGTTTTTATACCACATTTCTATATAAACTATCAAAGACATTGCTTTCTTGTTTCTTTCATTGGTTATTAGCAGACTGAGTCCTTTCTTTCATCATTTACTAGCTTTGCTTCTTCCTAATTTGGAGAAAAACATTGTCCTGCACTTACTGGTAATGTAGTTTTATCCTTATCTCCGAGTTTGTTAATCGAACTGATATAAAGTCTAATAAGATGCCTTGTTTCCATGTATGTGCAAAAAATCAAATTCGGTCTAAACTAAAGATTCCGCCTTTTTGCTACCAGGGGCACAAGGAATGGGTGACAGAAGTTAATGTTCTTGGGGTGGTCGAGCATCCAAACCTTGTCAAACTAGTGGGCTACTGTGCTGAGGATGATGAACGAGGAATCCAACGACTTCTAATTTATGAATACATGCCTAATGGAAGTGTAGAGAACCATTTAGCCAGTCGTTTAGATCCTCTTTCATGGGCCATGAGATTGAGAATAGCACAAGATGCTGCTCGTGGCTTGGCATACTTACATGAAGAAATGGACTTTCAGGTACTTTTAAATTTTGTTTTCGTTTTCATTTTGTAACGGTGTCCCTTTTTATGCATTTGATATTTGTTTTAAAAGTTAAGAAATGAAAAGAGGAGGGAGGGGAGAGGGAATAAGTTTGTGTGCTGACATTTTTCTATGTTTTTGTTCTAGATCATTTTCAGGGATTTTAAATCTTCAAATATTCTTCTGGATGATCAATGGAATGCAAAGCTATCAGACTTCGGAATGGCTAGGTTGGGCCCGTCAGAAGGATTAACCCACGTCTCAACAGCGGTATGATTTTATACAAATGATCTGATTATAATTACCGCCCATTACATAATTCAATATCCTTCAAACTATGTGCTACACTCTTGCGCTCACATGGCTGGGGATTTTTCATCAGGTTGTTGGAACCATGGGATACGCAG